CAGTGTTTCAACCAGGTCTCTCTGCCTCTAAATCCATCCTTTTTCCAGAGTACTGTGGTTGTCTTGAGGTGCGTGACCTTAGAATGGTCAGCTGTCATGTTTTGAGGGATTCTGCCCATAACCGAGGACCTCTGTTGACAACCTGCCCTGGGCCCCAGGTTTCCAGCTGTACAGTAGCATGAGGCATGGAGAGGACCATCTATCCTTGGCCCGGGACCAAGCTCTGTCCTGTCTTCTCCATGGGCCACCTGAGCAGGACGAGAGTGACGCTTACCTGTACTCATGCCAGGCTCTAACCCCTCCAAGTGCCTATTAGCTCCTAGACAAAGTGAGCTAATGATGTCTTTTTCACAAGGTTGCCGCAAGGGTCTAATTAAATAAGGCATTGGAAAGCATGCGGCACATAGTAGGTATGCAGCTGATACTACATTTGAATACAGGAGGTCAGCCCCATTTAAACCTTGACTCTGGTCCCGTCTGGGTTTTTGTTTTTGTTTTTTTTCCTTCCCATTCCATATGACACTCTATTGTCTCTCCTGGCAAAGGAGCCTCAGACCCAGCCAAGGTTTCCAAATGTAGCCTCTGCCTTGCCTCTCCCAGGCTCTGCCTCTGACTCAGTTTGTCTGAGTCTTTCACCAAATCCTAAAGTGCCAGGGTCTTCCCAGCCTGTGCTGTCACTGCCTGGGCCAAGCCTGAGCACAGAAGGGTTAAATGAGAGGCAGAGGCTGGGGACTCTGGCCAGGACTAGACCTCATGATGCGTGTGGCAGGAGCTAGAGCTCTCCCTGGCTGCAGGGGGAGCAACCGTAGCTCTGAGCCCCGGCACTCCCCTCTGTAAGTGTGTACAAGCCCTATGAGAAGTGGTTTCATAAGTGTGAAGAGCAGAGCAGATGCCAAATGGACCATCATGGACGATCCAGAGCAAGGCAGAGGCACAGGTAGTCCAGGCCAAGGGGTGGCATCAGGGACATGTAGGGCTGAAACCGGAAGCCTATAGACACCAGCAGTATGAAACCATTTGTGATCAGGGTGAGTATGTGACCAACACAGGCGAAGTCAGAATTCTCGTTCCACGTGGATTGGGGAGAGCTGCAAGAGTGGACAAGGCCTCAGTCCTAGAAGGCAAATGACCAAGACAGATTCTGCCAGGGGCATCAGGCGAAAAGCCAGGTGCTGGGGTTGGGCCAGTGTCCGAGCCAGACAAGCAACAGTGAGACTGAGTGTTGTTATTGTTACAACTCTCAACAACCGTCGTGTGAGCTAACTCTTACGTAGTGCACTCTGGCCAGGCATTCCTCTAGGAGCTGGATGTTTACTCATCCCAACAATGGGATTTTAAAGATGAGGAAACTGAGGCATAGAGAGTTGGAGTAAAACTCCTGATCTCCAAGACGGGCAGCCTGACACCTCACGTTCATAGCTCCATATCAGCCATTGTGGGACCATTTACACCATGGGAATCGGCAGATGCCACTAATCAGGGCCTTTAAATTTATTTATTTATTGTTCTGAGAACCAATTTATTAGCACATCATAAGACTCATCCTAGAGTCTCCATGGACCTCATCTGTATGGGGAAAGAAGAGCTGTATTAACTGAGAAACAGGCAACACCTGACATACAAGATAAATTATGTATACAAGATAAACAGCTAACATTTCAAGGGTTTGTTTTTTTTTAAGATTTTATCTGAGAGAGCACATGTGCATGAGCAGAGGGGGAGGGGCAGAGGGAGAGGGAGAAGATGACTCCCGCTGAGCAGGGAGCCCAGGACCCTGAGATCATGACCTGAGCCAAAGGCAGATGCTTACCAACTGAGCCACCCTGGCGCCTCTCGCTTAATATCCTTAAGAATCCTCTGCTGTGTAGATGCTTATTTCCATTTCACAAGGAAGCAAACTGAGGCATAGAGAATCAAGTATCTTGTGCAAGATTGGATAACCGCTGGGGGATCCTTTGTTCATACTTGGGCAGCCCAGTCCCACAGCCTGTGCTTTGTGGTTTTTAATGAGCCATTTATTCATACTCAGTCTCTAGCCTGCTTTTAATTTGTCTTTTCAAGAAATATGTCTTGAACCTGTCTGCCAGGTGTCAGAGTGTAGGCATGGAAAACGGGAAGGTCATGTCAGAAGCTGTACACTTCGCGGTTTAAATAAAGCCTGGGGTTGAGGCAAACTGAGTTGGAAGCCTGGTTCTGCCACTTGCCAACTCTGTGACCTTGAACAATGACTCAGTCCCTCCAAGTCCCAATCTCTGCATGTGTAGGAGGATGATCACTGTGTTTAGTTGATAGGGTTATAGTGAGAGATGAATGATGGAGAACATGCCCAGCAGTTGGCATGGTCTCCAGCACACAGGCAGCACTCAATCCAAGAGGGCCGAGGGGATTCTAGACCCCAGGTTTGTGTACAGATGCCCCATGGGAATTGGGGTTACAGGCATCAATAGATCATTTCTGAACAGAGCGGTAAAAAAGGAAGAGGGAGTACCCGGTTCTTTCCAAGGGCGTCAGGGACGGTTCTGCCACAGAGGTGACATTTGAACAGGATCTAAAAAGGGTGTTCGAGAGTTTTCCAAGCTGGGAAGGGGAAAGGGGGGGCTTTCCCAGTGAAGGGAAGAGTACATTCCAAGGTATTATAGGAAGGAGTGGGCATCTAACCCAAGGGACATACCAGAATACCCTCACAAGAGGTGTGATCATGCCTTCATGTTTGTGAGTGTTTTCTCCTCGTACACTAAACTCTGTACCTGGGTCTTGGGGGGGGGGGCTGTTGAGAGAGGGAGCAGAATGAGTGTTTTCAGAGTGTTGGAAAACAGGGTTGAACCAGATGACCTTTGAACTCTGAAATCCTGCTCTTCGATTGATCTTATTGGGGGCTCACCATACAAGTAGGACTGTCCGCAGCAGATAGTGAACATGGCCTCTGTCAGTAACTGGCTGGGGTGGGAGCCGCCCTACACACTTGAAGATCCAGCGGCCTTTGCCAGGCGGGCTCCGTGGACCAAAGCCTTGGTGCCCTGCCACTCCACCACCATCCGCCTCATTAAATCCACTTTGACCGCCAGGAAGTTGGGGCTTGACCTTAAGGAAAGGCCCTTAAAAGTCATTAAGTTCGATTCCCTTGATTTTAGTTGGCATTGCTGAGATGCAGATTAGAGGAAACGGCCAGCCCAAAGTCACAAGGTGGCGTTGGACAAAAGTCCTGGGCTGCTGGGTCCTTGGCCCAGGAGTACATTTGTTGCTCCAGTAATGGGACACAGCTTCCACCATCATAGACATCCCCCACCCAAACCAGTCTCCAAGGAGGACTCTCTGGGCTGATTATTCGAGTGGAGAAACCTGAGGCCACAGTCCAGGGCAGGATTTCCAGGCATTCCGGGCCTGGGGTGAGCACACAAAGCTAATGGCCCTACAGCAAGGAGCTCCTTCGGGGCCCTGGGCAGGAGGACAGGCACGCCAGAGTCCGCCTCTGGCTCCTTCACCAGTTTGCCCACTGCGTGAGCCTGGCAGAATCCCTTCACCCCCAAGCCTTAGTTTCTTCATCTGTAAAATGGGATGCAGCCTAATAGACGTAAAGCGAGGATTTTTTAAAAGAACAGGGACAGCACAGCTGCTGTAGTCCGCTGGTTGATTCATGCTCACTCTCTTCCTACCTTCAGAGCACTGTTTGCAGCAAAGGTGGAAAGCCAGAAGAGAAGAGCGCTCAGGAGCATGGGCGGTGAGGGGCAGATCTGTCATTACTAGCTGTGTGGCCTGGGGCAGGTCACTTCCCGTCTCTGAATCTCCATCTTTCCATCTAGAAAACACAGGAAATGAAAGTATGTTCCCTCCTAGGGCTGTTTGAAGACTAAGGTCTGCCTCACGTTGGGGGGGTGGGGGGGGAGATGGAAAACAAGGAAGAAGATCACGAACGAGCATCTCCATCAGTGTCCCTGTCCTGCATCCCGTTCCCTTTTCACCTGCCCCTCGTCACACTGAATTTTTTCCCATCTCTTGAATGTGCCTTGTTTTCTCTTAGCTTCAGGCCTGCTCACATGCCCTCCTTCTGCCTGGAACAGCCCACCGGCCCCTCTGTCATTCCGGAGCTGCTGAGCCCGGCTCCTCATTCATGGCACATCATAGATTTCCTTCCCGGGAACATTTCCTGAGGTCTGTGCCTCATTAGGGACCTCACTGCTGCCCCCACAGCACCCTACACTTCTCCTTCAGACTGGCAACCTGTGTCACCATTGCCTTTTGCTGACCTGCGTCCTCCCATTAGGCCGTGAGCTAGAGTTCACCTGTGGCCTGCACGTAGGAGCTGTTTAGTAAACACTAGTTGAGCAAACAAATGTTCCAGTCTCTGGATCTGACTCACATGGAAGATGGGAGACTTTGTGTTGCCCGAAGCCCTCTGCAGGTTGGGCCTCTCCAGCATGGTCTCGGCCACACCCACACCCCAGTCTCCCACCAACAGAGCAGGATGGAGAAGTCATCATTTATCTGGGCACCTCCCAAGCAGAGAACACTCAGACCCTGTGTTTGGGATCCAGAACACTCCCAAGTTTGCAGTCTGCTCAGACGTGGGGACAGATGGCTGGACAGTGGACAGCTGGGCAGGGAGGGTAGGCAGCTTGGCAAGAGGGAAGTAGCTGTGAACTAAGCATTGGGAGATTGGGGCTCAGAGCCTGTGTGTTCCCCAACTTTGCTGAACACATCAGTCTGAGTTCTCTGGTAACCAGCAACAGAAACGGACTCTTGAGTCATTTAGGCAGAAAGGTATAACACAGAATAACAGGGAATAGACCTGTAGTCTTGGGCCTTCCCTGTGGCAATAGACAAGTAGGGCACCCAGAGAAGAGAGAGTTGACTCCCAGAGGAAATTTGGATTTTGTTAACTGCCTGAAAACTGCTGTCCATGCTGTGTGACGTGAGGCGAGGCACCTGACCTCTCTTGCCTGAGTCTCCCATCTGCGTGTTCTAAAGCTGGCCTCTCTCCATTCACATCTCCAGTGTGCTTTTTGCTGAGAAGCCTCCTGCCCTGGCCCCCGATGGCGCCTTTCCCCATCCGGACGCCTTGGGAATGAATTATGAGGAAGCCAGGTGAGTAGTGTGTGGGGGTTCCCCTGCCGCTCACCCCACTGAGGAGGCCAAGACCTCTCCACGTGCATGTGTGGGGACACGTGACTCATCTCATGAGGTAGTCAGCCTCATCCTTTGTCTTCCATGAAACCAGCATGTCCTTGGCCCCTGCATGCTGAATATGCTGCTGAAAGTCGAGCCGGTGTTATGGGCCTCTGTCTGGTCGTGGTCTGGCATCTTCCCCAGGTTGGGAAGCTCCTAGCTAGAGTCTGTCCTCCCAGAGACCCCCAGAGCCACTAACTCTAAACCCTGCCACTGTCTTCCACTTGAACTCTACCGTGTATCAGCAAGCTCAGGTCCTGAACACCTGGGATGCAGAGGTGGCTGAGGGGGTGGGGATGCTCTCAAGTGACTGGAAACCTGACGGGGGAGGCAGGTGCATAAACAGGTAACTATAGCAGCAGAACAAAGTAAGAGACTGAAGTAGTGAGCCAGGAGTGTGGGAGCCCCGAGATGGGAGAGTTTGATTCTCCCCAGGAGATCAGGGAGTGCTCCACGGAAGAGGAAATGTTGAGGATGAGTAAGATTTGGCAGGAGGGAGAAAGGAAATTTCAGGCTGAGGTAGCAGCGTGAACAAAGGCCTAGAAGTAGGAGTATACGGGTTTGATTCAGGGAATAGTGATGTCTGGTGGGATCAGAGCTCTGGGAGGGTGGTGGGAGCTCCATGGTGACAGTGAGGGGTGTCTCAGTGGCCCTAGAACCCCAGGAGCATGAAGCCCGAGGTAGAGGGCATGTCTGCCTGGGGTTGAGTCAGGAGGTTGCTGGGGGCTCAGGCTCCCACCCAGGAGTAAGGCTTCAGCATCCTAGTTCCTCCTAGCCCCTCACCTACCCAGGAAGAGGGTGCAGGCTCCTCAGCCTCCCTCCCCAAAGCTGTCAGCTATTTCTCTACACTAGTCCCGGGCAAAACTGGCATTGCCTCCTAACAGCACCCACCCGTCCTACTTCCCACCCCGCAGAGAGAGGTGAGGTGCTCCCAGCCCATCCCAGACGGGCCTCTGCTAGAATGCTGATTCACCCAGCCCACAGCAGGTACCTACCTGTCCTGTGTCTCCTCCACTCGCCATGAGTTCTAGGAAGGTGAGGCAGGCTGGTCCAGGTCCAGTGTCCAGCAGCCAGCAACACGGGGGTCTGCATTACCTTCACACGCACGCGCACGCACACACACACACACACACACACACGTGAACAAGTGATAGTGATGCTCTTCAGGTTGCCAGAGGTCTGACCACCTTATTTGATAGACGAGGCTTCAGGGGCCCAGGGTGAGAGAAGATTACCCAGGCATCAGCATGTTGGGAGCAGAGTTTAAAGGAGAGGTTTGGTTTGGCGCAGCACACTGTTCATAATCGCCAGAAGGTGGAAGCAACCCAGATGTCCGTGGCTTGATGAATGGATAAATAAAATGTAGTATATCCACATGGCCGAATGTTGTTCAGCCATAAAAAGGAACGGAGTACTGATCTGTGCTCCAACCTGGATGAGCCTAGAAAACATTGTGCTAAGTGAAAGAAGCCAGACACAAAAGACCATGTAATGTATGATTCCATTTATATGAAATAGCTAGAACACGCTAACCCATGGGGACAGGAAGCAGGTTAATGATTGCCAGAGGCGAAGGGAGGGGAGAATGAGCAGGGGCTCCCTCATGGGTCCGAGGTTTCCTTTCGGGTGATGAAAGTGCTCTGGGCCCCGAGAGTGGTGGCAGTCATACAACATGGTGAATGAGTTAAATGCCACGAGATTGTACACTCTCAAAACGGTTAAAATAGTGCATTTTTCTCTTAGGTGAATTTTATCACAATTTAGAAAAAGGAGTAGTTTGGGACCAGATCAGATGCCACCGGCCAGGTCTAATGTCCATTCCTCAGACACATGCCCCTGGCCCCCCATCCATTATAGACCTCCCCCGCCCAGGCCAAGGGTGGGGGCGCCTGTGACACCTCAGTTCAAGGCAAGCTCCATGGTCAAGTGGAAGAAGGCTGCCCGCTGAAAAGCCAGGATTTCTGGCAGTGAGGACTTGCTGACGTGCCTCTGAGGTCTAGCCCCCATCGCTTCCCATCCCACTGACCAGCCTGCTCCCTCCAGCTGGTGCCAAATACATCTCAGACGTCTGCATTGCTCTTGCTGTCTGCACCGTGAAGGAGGTTCTTTCCCTTGTGACCCGTCATCCATCTAGAAACATGTTTAAGAACCAGCTCTTATCTTCCCCTTGCAGAAGACTCCCCCCCCCCACCCTGCCCCCTCACCACAATCTGAGCTGAGCTCCCCAAGGCATCGCGTGAAGACGTCGATTGAAGCAGGTGTGGGAGCAGTCGTGTTTGTGTGTGTGTCTTCCCGAGATGACTGGGAGCTGTGCAGGGAGGGGCCTGGTGGTTCATCACTGTATTCCTAGGACAGCTCTGTGCCTTGCTCACAGGCGGTCCTCAGCAAACGCTTGTTGAATGAGACAGTGGCTTTGGGAAGGTTCTGTCCCCGCCCAGATATTCTCCATCAATGAGGGAGGGACAGGCTGGGTAATCTCCAAGTCCTTTTATCTTTTATCTCTGGGGTTCTCTGGTTCTAAGAGTAGTGGGGCAGGGGGCAGCCCAGCAAGTTGCTGTGTTTTCTGCTCCTGTTGCCCAGCTTCTAAAAATCGAGGAGAAAGAAGGAACCTGCAGTAATCCACTGCAAGCAGCTATTTCTGCTCTTGGTGGAGAGGAGAGAGGGCAGTGTCCAGAGACTGGGCTTCTCCATCCAGCCGGAATGGACCATCTCTTCTCTCCGGAAATCTAATTAAAACCCTCCCCTGAACAGCCTAGCCATGCAGGTTTTGGCTCAGGTTGCCCAGAGTCCTTCAACTACAAGGCCAAGGGGCGAACTCTTGCTCCATTTTCCTCTACAGATGAGAGGTGCTACTCTTTCTGCTTTTCTGATTATGAAATTAGTCATTTTCTAGGAAGCTTATTTATAGAGTCCACTGCACACATGCAGCGCTGAGCTATTCTGAACACGGCTTAGGGCCTGGGAGGCTTAAGGTGTGAAAGTAGCTGTGAGTCACACATGGGTCCCCTTCCAGAGGTATCTGGATACCCTGGTTACCTTTCTGCACCCAGCCAGGAGCCAGCCTTCATGGGCTGCCCTCCAGCCAGGGTGCTCTTTACAGGAGAGAGAAAAAGCTCAGCATCTCAGTCCCCACGGCCACCAGTTTGACAGAGTACCTGGGGCAGGTCCGACCTCATTCTGTGCCCCTTTTTCCTGCTCTCCTAATTGGGGGCCTTCCGGATGTGTGATTCTGTGCCTGCTCTGGACAACAGCTGTGGAGGAGGTGTCCAGGTGGCTTCACAAAGACCTGCCCACGAGGCAGCTCAGATGATGACCATGTTTGAGGTTCCTGATGTTTCTTTCAAGAAGGTCAGGGCAACATTCACGGATTCAACGAGTATTTACTTATTTATTTATTGAACACCTGCTATGAACCAGGCACTGTGCAAGGCTTTGAAGATACAATGGTGAATAAAACAGAAATGGAGCTTGTAGTCTAATGTTAATCAAACAATGGCATATATGAAAATGAAATTTCAAACTCTGTCAAGTGTGTGAGTAAAAAGTACTAGGAAATAGAGCTGGAGGGACTCTCTAGGCAGAGAAAAAAGCACGTGCAGAGGCACTGTGGAGAAAAGAACCTGTCCAGTGCAGCTACAGTGCTGAGCACAAAGGGAAGGGGGTATGAAATAAGGTCGGAGGGATATACTGGGGTCACATTATGCAAGACCTAGTAAAGCATGTTAAAGCATTTCTGTCTTTGTTCTGAGTGCAATAGGATGCCACTTAAAGTATTTTTTACTTAAAGGATTTTTTTAAGAAGGTTATATGATAAATGTTCAATTTTGAAACAGTCGTCTCTAGCTCAGGCCTGCCCCATCCAGTTCTGCAGGTTATAAACTGCACAACCTATGAAGCCATATGTGTTGGAACAAGATGGAGAATGTTTTAGGGGCAGCCTGAGTGAATACCAGAGACCAGTTAAAAGACTGCCAAAGTAATCTAGGCAAGAGAGGCTGGCGTGGACCAAGATGTAGGTGGCGGAGAGGGAGAAAAGTAGAGGGATTCAGGAGACATTTAAAGGGCCTTGAAGATAGCAGCCTTCTCTCTGCAGGAGAGCTAGGCTCCAAGGTTTGGGATTCTCAGAGCCCCTGCCAGTTGGAGTGAGGAAAAGATAAAATAATGCAATGCCAGTTTAGAGCAGAAGATGTCAGAATGAAAATGGTCACCCTTAACTCTGCCTATCCTTAACTGTTTCAGGTCTGCAGCTGGGCCTAATATGGACCTCAGGACCAGTCTGAGAGGCAGGATGGCAGAAACAGTGGGCAGAGAGGTAGTTGACCTCTTGAAGTTTGTGGAAATATTATGCTGGCAGTGCTGTATTCAAGTTTCTTTCGGTTGCTAATTTCAGAAATCAGATTCCACTGGCTTAAGCTAAAATGTTGGAATTTATTGGAAGGATCCTGGAGCATCTCATGGTTTTGATAGACAGACTCAAGACTCAGGATGGGCAGGAATGAAGCAGACCCAAGGCCCATAGCAGCAGATGTTTTTGGACCTTCTCTCCAGGACACTGTGGCTACCATGATTTAGAGCCAGCATCCGCAGACTGCAGGCCCTCCAGGATGCATTTGAAAAGTGCAGGGGAGAGGATCCGCTTGCCTCAGCCTGGTTGGTGTGTCTAGCCCTTGATGGGTCAGCTACTGCCAGGGGTCAGAACATGAAGGGCAGGCAGAGTCGCTGGAACCCATATTTGCATATCAGGCCATTTCCAGAGTAGGGGAACCCCTGTGAGCTGCACAGTTGACCCCAGGGTGTGTCTACTGTGCTGACACTTCATGGGGTGTAGCTGATCTCCTGCAACCTTTTTCCAGCTTACGGGGTAAAGGAGAAAAGCTAGACCCCAGTATAGTCCTGGAAAGTGCCCTTATTGGCTAGAGAGGGGGTTTTCTTTTTTTTTTTCCTTTTTTTTTTTTAAATATTTTATTTATTTATTTGACAGAGAGAGAAACATCGAGAGAGGGAACACAAGCAGGGGCAGAGAGAGAGGGAGAAGCAGGCTTCCTGCTGAGCAGGGAGCCCGATGCAGGGCTCGATCCCAGGACCCTGGGATCATGACCTGAGCCGAAGGCAGACGCTTAACGACTGAGCCACCCAGGCGCCCCGAGAGGGGTTTTTCTGATGCCAGAAAGAAATAGAACATTTAGAATACACAAAAAATATATATACCTACATTTTCTAACTCTTTCTGGAGGAGAGTTTTGCATGCCACTTTCCACTGCCTGAGGCACAAGGTACTTGCAGGCCTTGAGGAGCTGGGCATAGACGGTGTGTGACCCAGACCTCTCTTCTTGCTCGCCTGTGATTCAAACCTACAGGAACGAGGAGGCAGAACAATAAACACAACAGTGAGCGCATAAGCGTGGAGTCCTAGACTGTAATTTCATACCCAGCTCCACCCTAATGAGCTGTGTGACCTTAGGCAAGTTACTGAACTCCTCTGAGCCTGTTGATCGATCCCTAATCCGGGGGTCACGATGAAGACTTAGTGTGATGAAGTTTGTAAGTGCTTTGCACACAGTAAGGCCTCCCTCCATGGCAGAGGGGATGGGGGTGACGCTGGTTGTAGGGCATTGGCTGCTCATTGTTGCACAGGGAAAACGCCTGCAGAATTCTGCTCCGGCCTCTGCAGCTTGACCCTTCTGCAGGTCGGTCCTCCTCCTTGCTCCCTCCCCCGCCACGGGGTAGGGTTATTCAAAGGGACACAGTGCGAGCAAGAAAGTTTTTTATCCTTGTTCAGGGTTCTGCCTTGATCCCGGCTGCGCAGCATCATCTGGCCTTTTTCATCTGCTGTAGGAGTGCAAGAGAGAAGCCCGCGGCCGATGACTCCGAGGGAGGGACCCTGGACATGTGCTGCAGTGACAGGCTGCCGGGTGAGTCTGCCTGGCATGCAGGGACCCCAGAGTTCCCCGGGCACGGAGAGCGCCCCGGATGGCCCGCGCTGGAGTCGAGCCCGCTTAGCTGTGAACTTGCTCCGGGGCGGGGGGGCTGACTCAGCTGCTCACAAGGTCTTCCTTTAAAGGAGGACTTGTTTTTCTAATCCCTGATGTCTCTCTGACCTGTCATATGAAGCTGCTCTGGGCTTCCACGGAGGGAAGAGCAGGCGGCTGGGGGTGTGCCAGGAGGGTGGAGAGGGGTGAGGAGCTGGGGAGTCCAGGGCTGCTGGGGCCCCGACCGCTGAGCAGCAGTGTGTTGGGCAAGACTTCAAGAGGTAAGGCGAGGGGACGCGGACAGCCCAGATGTGGCATGAGCCGAGGGTGGGTGGGCGATGGGGAGAAAGTACCCGCCAGCCCTGTTGAGAGCCTCGCTGTGAGGGTCAGTGCGTGCTGCTTGAGGCTGTTTGGCTGCGCTCACCACTGCCACAGAGACCTTACCGCGGCACTCCTGCCCGTGGCCCGTGGGGTGGCAGCGTGTCCCAGCTGTAGACCAAGTACCCAGCTCACAGAAGGAATAAAGGAAAGGAGGATAGGAGACATTTGTAATATTCATTTTCTTTTTATATAACTTTTTTTCTTATAACAAATACCCACTGTAGAAATAGAAAATAAGACAAATGAAAAAAAATTGTTGTACTCCCGTAACACAGTATTCATTTTCATCTTTCCTTCCAATCCTTTTGGTTCAAAAACAGCCTTTTGAATGCTGACTTTGAAGTCCCAAACCTGTAGCTTGTCAGAAACCTCATGATTGGCAAGGAACCTTCGAGTGGCGTTTTCAGTGACACTCTTTAAGACAGACATTGAAAACAACTAGGTATGACTCTTAAAACGGTGACTCCTTAAAATAAGTGGTTATTTTACTCCTACCATGAGCCAGTGCCCCAGCTACTGATGAAGCTTCTTCCTCAGGCCTGCAGGTAAGGATTAAGCCCTTTGGTGCAGTTCACGCTATGTCCAGTAGGAGGTACCATTGCTCAAAAACATTTTGGAAGGCCTGTTGAGCTGGTCTAGGGTGGGTGTCATCTTTCAAGGGCCTTGTGGGGACCCGCAACAGCTAGCTTCAAGAACAGAATTCTCCAAAAGGGATGTGAGAGCTGTCTGTGAATATATGAAAGGCTGTCTTGTGGAGGGAGCAGCCGATTCGTTCTGTGTATCTTACAAGGCTGGCATAAACCTGATACGCAGAAATTAAAAAGAGGCCTGTTGGCACAAGGGATCCAGAACTTTTTCTTTCTTTCTTTCATAGAGAGAGAGAAAGGGGGAGAGAGAGCATGCGTGGGGCGGGGCAGACTCTCCGCTGAGCAGGGAGCCCGACATGGGGCTCGATCCCAGGACCCCGGTATCATGACCTGAGCCAAAGGCAGACGCTTAGCTGACTGAGCCACGCAGGCGCCCCCAGAACTTTCTTTCTGAATCTGAAAGCGGTCCACTCGTAGAACTGGATAATTCAAGAGGAAGAAAATGAGTGTTCCATCACTGGAGGCATTCAAATATTATCTGGATAGACAGTGGAGAGGAAATTTCCACAATGGGTGGGAAGTCGAAATGACATCAAAAGTCCCTTTCAACTATTAAACGTTCCGTGATTCAGATATGAGTCATAGAATTCAGAGATGATTCTACGGCCAGGGATGGCCCAGTGGCTAGAAAAAACCCACGGAAAATAGGACATGATGTATAGGGAGTCCAGAGAGTTGCATGGTGTGAAGGAAAGAGCACCGGCTTTGGCATTTGGGTCTGGCTTATAGGTTCTGTGTTTATGGACAGGTCACTTACCCCTGCTGGGCCTCTGGTCCTCATCTGTAAATGGGAACAACAGCAATATGAGTATTTATCCTCACAGCAATATGAATATTTATCCTCACAAGGATTAAAAAAATATAATTACATAGGCATTCATTCCACAAATACTCTTTGAGCGCCTACTATGTGTCAGGTATTATGCTAGGTGCTAGGAATCTAGTGGTATATAAAACAGACATAGCCCCTGCCCTGCTTTGAGCTGCTTCTGGAAAATGGGGTGGAACCACAGGAGAGAGACTACAGTCATAAGAATAATATATGAAATTTCAACCCTCCCCGAAAGCCAGCAACCAGCTTAGAGTGGAAGAGGAGTATTGGTCATCTCCAGTGGAGCTGGTACACTGCCTTCCCTGTGCCAGGCACTGGTCTAAATACTCTCACATGTACATCTCACGGAATCCGGTCCCCTGCCCTAAGAAGTTGGTATCGTTTCCTGTCCCCATCTTCTAGATGAGAGGACCGAGGCCCAGGGAAGTGAGGGAGTCTGTCCAAGGTCACTTTGCTAGCGTTTGGTAGAGTGAGGATTCAGTTCACGCTGTCTCTTTCCAGAGCCCATGCTCCTGGTCACCTCCCCATTCTGCCTCCACTGTCACCATGGAGCCACCATCAGTTTCTGGCACTGTGTAAACTGAGGCAAGAAGAGCTAAGGTGTGTCTGTCCCTGGGGAGGAGTCTGGAGGAGATGGGCCATGTCACCGTGCCTGTCCCCATCTGGGTCCTTCCTGCCAGGGGCTAGGCCAGCTCTACGCCCCTCGAGACTCCCAGGATGCCACCGTCATGTGATCTTGTAATCATGTTTTGCCTGTTTCCTCCACGGGACCGTGAGTTCTTTGAAGGCAAGTGCCTATTTCGTCCTCCATGTCCGGTCTTCATTCACTTATTTCTTCATTCACTGGATGACTGTTCATTGAGTGAATCCCTGGGCAGGGCACTCTTGTAAGCACTGAACCTTGTAAGATTCAACAGTGAACCGAACTGAGAAAATGTCCACCCTCACAGGGCAGTGTTGTGTGCTGATAAAGAGCAGGGACTCTGGACCTGGGCTTGGTTCCACCCTTTACCCCGGAGGTGATCATGCTCCAGTGACTTAATCCTTCTGTGCCTCCCAGTTACAAAATATAAGCACGAATGCTATTTACAACCACGTAGAGTTGTTGGAGGAGCACATGAATTAATGGAAAGCTCAGAGCAGTACCTGGCACATAGGTAGTTTGATCTATAAGCATTTGCTATGTCGAGAAAGATAGACAAGGAATAAAATAAATAAGTAAAATATTTAGGGTGGTAGGTAGTAGTAGGTGCTGTGGAAGAAATTAAAACCAAGAAAGAGGGATGAGAAAGGACGGGGTGGGGGGGTAGCATTGTAAATAGGGCGGTCCTGGAAGCTGGTTAGGAGGACGCTTCCATAAATGCTCATCAGCCAGAACCACCGATCTGAGCAGCAACTTGGACATGAAAGGAGGTATAAAGGCCGAGAGAATCGGGGAGCACGGCCTTTAAAATGAACCCAAGGGCACTGCAAGCAGTTGCATAAGGATGGTGTAAAAATACAGCCATCAAGAAATCTGCCCCCCCCCCCCCCAGCTGTCTTCGCCCTGGGCGAGATGAGGTGGAGTGAGGGCTAGCCTTGCCTGAGTGACTCACGCCTTCCCACAAGCACCGCCAGGCAGGGGCGGCGTGGCCGCGGTCACCTGGACCTGAACCAGCACCAAGCAGGTCACATAGACCTCCCAGCTTGAGATTTCTGGGTGAAAACCTCCTCCGGCATCACCAACACCCCCGGGCAGCTGGGAGGCACGCTCACTCACATCCCCGGGGCGCTGCTCGCATGTGCTCACACGCTCGTCTCCGTCCTCACTTGTCCCAGCCCCGTGCGCATGTATGCGCGTGCACAGACCCACACGCAGCTACCCAGGCACATGCCCCGTCTCGCTCTGCCTCTTGAAGCTCCATGGGCGCACACCCACTTGAAGCTCATGCACCTGCGAGCTTCCTTCCCCTTGTGCACTCGGGATCTCTTTGCTCCAGGGTGCCATCATCCACGCTGATCTGCCTGCTCTGTCATTCCTGCTTCAGGCCTCTTTCTCTTCCGCAGCCAGGTCCCTTCTCATGTACACGGGCAGACCAGCGGGCACACCCCTTCCCTCCCATTCTCTACCCTTTCCCCAGGCCCTCAGCTGCATGTAGTCTCAGTGCACCCCACTCTGTGCACACACACACACGTGCATTTTCCTTCTCTGTCATGCACACGCTCTCTTACACGGGGTCCCTCTCCTTTCCTTCTCTTTCACTCCCCAGTGCTTGCTCATTTACTTGCTCACAGTCACCCAAATACATTTATACATTCAAACTCACACTCCCCCCGCCTCTGTGTGTAGGTGTTCATATTTGCAAGAAACCAGGCAACCCTGCTGATGCCGGGGCCTCCGCTCCTTCCCCAGCCAGGACCACTGCAGGCCCAGCCTCGAGCCCGTGGCTTCCTTTGGGGTACAGGCCAGAGGAAGGAGGTAGACAAGACCATAGGAGGTGGCGGTGATGGCATGACCTCACCAAGTGTCACTCACACTGTCTCCAGCGGGCAGGCTCAGGGGCTGGCCTGCTCCTAACATTTGCAGGGACCAAGGCCAAACTGCAAATGAGGCTCCTGCTGGTGCACCGCCCTCTGCTGAGTCCTGCACCGCAGGGGCCCTTGTGTGCGTGCACGTGGGCACGTCGGCCTGCGGGTCCACACGTGCTCCACATCCCACCGCAGTTGCTGCTCCTTGGCCACCCCTCAAATCCAAAGGTACCCAAGCAGGAGGCCCCATCCACCCTCAGAAGGGTGTACCTGCACCCATGCAGGCTCCAGGACATTTGGGCGGGGAGCTCTGGAGTCCTAGGAGCCAGAGCGTGGCCTGGAAGGGAGAGTGTAGGCACATCGCCTAGCCCTGGGGAACTCCTTGCCCCCTAGGGAGTGGCGTGGCCAGAGAAGAACGAGCTCGGTCTGGGTGTAAGGACAACTCTGGTCTTAGAAACAAGGTGCTCCCATAGCATGCTACAGCCAACAGCTGGCTGGAGTCATGGGAGTCACCGCCACCGTGAGGTGTAAGTGTATCATGATTAGCCAGCTCAATGCAAGGTTGTGAGTAGCTA